AAAAAAAATCCATGGCCGTTCTCTGCTTCCATAGCGTAGATTCCCTGATAGGGAAAATTATTATCTTCTTTCAAAATCAAAAGCATGACTCATTCAAATTAGCTCTGCAAAAATTGAAGCTGAATCTGCCCCTGTGTCTCCTGCAGACCTCAGTCATCAGGAGTCAACAAACACACAAAAAGACACATACCAGAGGACAAAGTTAAACGTATTGTAGCCTATAGAGATACACACAAATATCTGCAACCTACAAGGACACATACGCATCTTCATGATGACCTCAGACCAATCTCACCAGCCTTGGGTAAGTTCGACAAGCATATTAACACATTATGAAACACTGCAAAAAAACCGAATAAATCAAACAAGCAAAGTCATCAACAAGTCATATGAATAGCTAGATTTTAATGGGTTTACACTTGTGGTAAACCTAACACAGATTTGCTTCTGTTCCTTTTGAAGAATCTTTGTTTGAAATTGATTTCACTCTTTATCCAACATCGTTCAACCAGCAAGTCATAAGTTAAAGGGAATTTTTCATTAGAGTAAAAAAAGGGTTCTGTTTGTGTACTTGTATTAATCTGTTTATAGGGACAAAAATTGATTCGCAGTCTCATAACTATTTATTAGACTTCTTTAGTAAAGTCATGCAACAGTAAAAGTTTAGTGAGACTTAAATAACAGCTATTGATGTTAAAATATATATAGAATATCAATATATAACCCGTTTCTCTTTACAGGTGAACGTCAATGTGAACAAACTGACTGCAAATATGGCGTAAGAAATCTTTCTTATATATAAATATTTATATTATGAATCTACATGCAATATGACTCTACAATGACACCACGGTATTACAGAATAATTTGTAATTAACAGAATGCTTTGGCTTTCTATCAAATATCTGTCTGTGTTCACAAAATCTGTCCGTGTGTGGTTGTCATTACACCTGTCAGCCAGCAGGGGTCCCTGTATGTGACAGCTGGCTGCGTCTGCCTGATGAGGTGTGGCTGTCCATCCTGTCTCTGCTGCCTCAGAGAGATCTTTGCAGAGTGCTGCAGGTCTGCAGCCGCCTGCACACTCTGGCCACTGATCACACGCTCTGTGAGTCAGCACTGTAAACATTCCTCACTTGATAGAAAGAACATGTTTGGACTGTAGTTTGTGTCAGATAGCCTGTTTTTGATGTTTGGCTTTTTAAGGTTAACACTGGAGTTAATGACCAGTGGTGGAAGAAGTATTTAGATCCTTTATTGACGTAAAAGCAGCTGTGAAAATACTCCACTACATTTAAAATCCTGCATTTAAACCTTACTTAAGTAAAAGTGTTTAAGTCTGTAACTACTAGCAACAACATTTACTTCAAGTA